TCCTTTAGGAAAAACATATTTTGAGATTACACTATTGTATATCTCGTGCAAATAAACTTTGGAAGAATGTTCCCTGATTCAGGAATGAAGCATGGGCAAGACCTTCCCCTGGAAATATTTCCAGCTCTTTCAGATGCAGACAAGATGATCTCTCTTTCTCCTGAGATGACAAGTTTGAAGGGGTGAGCGGGGTGTGGGAGCACAATTACAGCAAGGGCAGATTATTTGGGTTTGAGGAGTTAGCAATATTGCTGAGATGTAAGAAATGATGCCCTCCCAAATCAGACCCAGCAATTCACTTAAGAAACATTAGTGGGTCTGGCCAGTGTGGCTCAGTGGTTGAATGTCAACCTATGAACCAGGAGGTCTCAGTTCAAGTCCTGCTCAGGGCACACGCCAGGATTGCAGGCTCAGTCCCTGGTGGGAGGACAGTAGGGGGGGGGGGTGCAGGAGGCAGTGATCAATGATTCTTTCATCACTGATGCTTCTATCTCTCTCTCCCTCTCCCTTCCTCTCTGAAATTATATATATATATATATATAGCCATGAAAAATATGTTTCCCTTCACCCCCACCTCCACATAATGCATTACGACAAAACCAACAGCAGCACCTTGTACTTGCAAAGCATACTTAACCTCATTTTATTCTCACATTTTATTCTCACAACAACCTATGGGTTAGTAGGGCTGGTCATGAGCATTATCTCCATTTCACAACCAAGCTTAGAGAGATTGAAGAACTTTCCACAAATCACGCAGTGTGAGTGGCAGGGCTGGGCTCCTACTTCAGCTTTTGGAATCCCATTCCAGGGCCCCTTCTTGTACATTTAATGCTATAAACCTAGCACAGCCCAGCAAACATTCTGTGATAGTGCAGGGTGCTGCCGGTTTCTCTTTGGAACTCCATACTATTCCCCCAGCACACCGGAAATGCTGTTCTTTCTCTATCAGCCTGGTTTTACACTGGTCTGTCAAGTCCAACCAGTTCTCTGTATGACACGTTATTGCACTGGAG